GTTGCTTTCAAATTCAGCGTCACATCCCCCAAGTCTGGCTCAGGCCTCCCTCTCCTTCCCCTCATCATTCCTCACTTGCTATGCAGAAATCATCTCTGCTGGCCTCTGTCCCCTTGAGCTCACTGTGAACAGGGGCATGCTTTTCCTTCTTTATAAGGCATGGCCTGTATAGCCAGGGTTTATAGAATGAATATGTGGAAGATGAATGGGCAGATGGACAGATGGGGTCAATGGATGGATGAGTGTACAAACAGATAGACAGGTGGGTCAGACAGACAGACATGACTGGAAGGATGGACAGAGGAGCGGTGGCAGCTATAGGGACCCTGGAGGGAGAAGTGGAAGCTTGGAGCTTGGGTCTTCTGATCGGGGCAGGGCTCTCAGGTGAGGCAGGAATAACCTGGTGTGGTATTATCCTCTGGCTCTGTTCCTGACCCCAGCTCAGCAAAGCATCCTGAATTCTGAGTTATGCTGTGAGTCTCTACCTCCCAGCCTCTCACTGAGTCAGAGCTGTCCCTGGAAATAAAACACAGGCCTCTGGGGCCCAGGGTGCCTGGAAAATACAAATTACTTTTCTCTCATTTTACAGAGAAGGAAACCAAAGCCAACACATCAAAGACTTTGCCCAAAGGTACACAGCAATAGAGCCAGGGCTGGAGGCAGGCTTAGAGCCTGGCCTCTTCACTTCACTGATCCAATCACACACCTTCATGGTAGGATCTGTGGCTTTCCCAGCATGCTGTGCATAAATCCTCATGCCAATTTCCAAAGCCCCCTCAGGTGCCGGCACAACCCTCAGCTCACCAGCAGCTCCACACCTGGCACCATCCCCATGCCGTCCCCTTGCTCTGAGACCTCAGCTCACTCTGGCTTTCAGCCACATGCTATGAGTGCGATGTCACGTATGTGCCCTGTGATCACCACCTACCAGCCCTGCTGTGGGAGCCTGTCACTTCCCACCAGCTCCTTGCCAGCTCAAACTTCAGCCAAGTGGTAAACAAGTCTATAGCTGTTCCTGGAGCCCTGTCACACAGCACCTGGGACCTCAGGGCCAGGAGCAGGCATCTGAAGTCCTGCCCAGTTCGCAGAACACGTGGAAGGAGAAGCCACAGAGGGGCCCTGAGAGCTGGATGTTTGCAGTCAGCCAAGCAGGTGGCCATTCCCCAAACCTGTTTGTCCTATCATGGCAGGGGCAGGGTTATGGGAGGCATTCGTTTTGGAGATGCAGGGTCCAGTTTCAGGGTGGGAGTCCATGCCCCTTCGATGCTACACATGACGTTGCTAAAGATTCAGAAAAAGTCAGACTCAAAGGGCCAAAGAGAGTGTGGCTGTGTGAGATTCTGTGAACAAATCAACAAGCTAGAGATCAAAAGAATTTGTCAAAGCAAGACCAAATTAATAGCAGACACACATGCCTGAGCAGGCTGACCAGAGGTACAGTCTAGAGGAGGAGCTGGGATGTGTCATGTCTCTGGGGCAGAGCACTTCCCAGATCACACAAGGCCTTGGGTTCCATCCCCAGCACCTCCCACCAGGTAAAATAAAATACACAGCAAAATGGTGGCAACAACCTGAACCTAGATATTAAGTAATTTAAAGGCCACTGCGAACCAGGGATATTCGTATGCATCTGAAAACCTGAAACCCAGGAAAACAAGAGAAAGAGGGGCCTGGAGTCATGATGACTCAGTGGGTTAGGGTATGCAAGCTTGAGGACCTGAACTGGAATCCCCAGAACTCATACAAAGACACCGAGTCTGCCAGTACACACCTGTAACAGCAGCACCCCAAGGCAGAGACGGGAGGACCCCGGGGGTTCACTGGGCAGCAGATCAGCGACTCCAGGTCAGAGGGAGACCCTGTCTCAAAACCTAAGTGGAGAGCCACAGGGGAGGAAACTCAGCACTGACCTCCGGCCTCCTCACCTGTACCCACTGGTGCACACATCCGCTTTTGTGCACACAGACACACAAGGAGGAACAGCTCAAAAGACTTGAAGTTGAGGTGTCACCTGTCCAGATCTGGAGTGTTGGTCAAGACCCTCCCAGCCTCAAATCATCATCCCCGGGGGCTCTGGTGGCACAGCTGTGCTGAACTGCAGGAAACAGTTCTTAGGTTGCACAGGTTGCGAGAGAGACTGGGAAGGGGACGGGAAGTTGCCAAGTGAGTTATCTGATAAGTGACTGCCATCACAAAAGCTATGTAAGGCAACCCATAAAGGAACGCTCCAGGCCCGTTTCATTTATGAACACAGATGGAGACACTAAATAAAATCCTGGCTGAACCCAGCAAGGTTAAAATAATCACATTCCCTCGCTTTCAGGAAGTTTATACCGGGAAAAACATCAACCACAGAGAACTTGCCAGCATATCTGCCTCAGAGGATCAAGGGGGAAGAAACAGCCCAGTGTTCACGAAGCCTGGAGCAGACACGGCTCTTGGACAAGGTCCATAGTCTTCAGGGAGAAGTACCTTCATCTCATGGAGCTTTTCATACCCAAAAGCTGCATTTATGTCCTGAAGAGCCGGGAGAAGGCAAGGACAGCAAGTGTTGCTGTGGCCTGAGGCCTGGTGCCAGACAGCCAGGCAAGTAAGGAGAGAATGGAAGAGATGCCATTCTTGAAGGGGACAGACAAGGCTGGAATTCAACAGACAGAATATTAAATGGCATTCAGCAAGGCTCCCAGGTGCAGGGCCAAAAAAAAATTAATAAAAATAAAATAAAATAAATGCTACTTCTACATCAGCAGTAATTAACCAGGAATAGTCCAACTCATGTAAGCTCAAATAGCAGGGTCTGTGGGGACTATGTAAATATTTAAAACTGTGGCTGTATATGCATACATTTAATTTATGTAAATTGAATCTATAGGGAGCATCCAGGACACATACATAGCTCTAGGCCTCATAAGAGACCCTTCTTTGTTTATGAGTCAGGGTCTCTCTCTGTAACCCAAGCTAAGCTTAAACTCGATATCCTCCTGCCTCAGGCTTAGAAGCACAGGGGTGACATGTGTGCCCCCTCATGCCTGGCTCCAATCTCCTTTCTTTAGGTTTTGTTTTACCTCCTCCTGTATAGGAGACCTGTCTTCAAGGTAACTTCATGGTCCAAGGTGGCTGTGGGACTTGACTCTCTGGCGAGAAGCAAGAGGAAGAAATGAGTGTTGGTGAGACAAAAAGAAAGCCCTTCCCTTCAGGGACAGGCCCCAGAACTCACACCCAATGCTCTTGCATAGCTCACAGCAGGAAGCCAGCCTCATGGCCTTGCCTAGCTGCCAAGCTCAGCATATCACTGTCTTAAACAAACCAGCGTCTTGGCCGCGGTGGCAGGAACTAAAGACGGGTATTGGCGTGGGCAGGTCTATCTGAGGCCCAGAGAGGGTGAGGAGCTTCCGTGCGGCCACAGAGCAGATGAGCAGTGGGGCAGGTGTCAAGCTTGGGTCAGGGCAGACTGTACACCAACAGCTGTGTTATGCCCACCTTGGCATGGCCAGCCACAAAGCCCAGCCACTCCTCACTCCCCATCTACGGGATTCAGGGCCTGTGCCGCATTCTTCTGTCCCCCGCCCCCGCCCCTGCCCCTCCCAACCAAAAGACTGTGTTCTGCCTTTCCAGTCTTTCTGGTGTCATGCCTGCATGTGGCATAGCCTAAACTTGGTGAGCCTAGGAAGGACCAGGGAGGCAGCTACAGAACAGCAAATGTCCAGGCTGGCCACACCATTTCTTCTGCAAGCCCTGACTGAGGCAGGGGCCCTTCTTTTTTAGTTATGGCTCTTACGCCCACAGGGGTAGGCATAGCCTGTGTGGGACCCGGGGAGGGGGGAGCATAGAGACTCCCTGCTTGCTTGTTTCGAGATAGGGTCTTGCTTTGTAGCCTAGGCTAGCTCTCTGTTTTCTGTACTCACAGGTATGTTTCACTAAAACCGGTGGAGGTGTTGTGAGCCTCAGCTTTCTCCAAGTACTTTAGCTCTTGTCTTTTGTTTTGTTTTGTTTTGTTTTTCAAGCAAGGTCTCATATAGCCACTCTAGACTCAAACTCACTATGTCGCCAAGAACTTCTGATCCCTTGACTCCACCTCCCAACTGCTGAGATTGCAAGCATGCCCACCACATCCAGTTAATTGTGGAAACCGAGGCATGAGGCATCTGTGTATGCCAGGCTCACACAATACCAACTATAGCTCCGGCCTTCCAATTTCATGTCCTTATACTCAAACACCCATTGATGGGACCTGAGGGATGTCCCCTGCACCCAAAGGCCAGGACACTGGAGATGTCCCACAGGTGGTGGTGTGGATCCTGTGTTTATTAGCTGCAAAGTCCTGCACAGTCCAGGGCCCAGGAAGCCACCTGCCCACCAGGCACCTTCTGCTCTGAGCAGGCCAGGCTGCTACACTGTGTCCCTCTTCTGGGCATTTGAACATGCTGTTCCCTCTGGAACATTCTACCACAGAGCCTTCTTGGATTTCAGAAATGGCTTCTCCCTCTGAAGTTTAGACCCCAGCCTTGGTCTGAACAAGGGGGCCTCCCCAACACCCACTGCCACCCCCAACCGCCATGCTCTGGTCCCCAGGTCTGCACTGTGGCTCCAGTGCCCCAGAGCCCATCAGAGCTGGTGGAATTCAACAAAGGCGATTTAGCTCAATCGGATCAGCTGAGCCCATCAAGTGCCAGCACACAGTAGGCTCAGACTGCTCAGGCTTGGCCATGCTAGGCCACCTTCAGAGCCCAAGAAGCAGAGAGGCTCTAGGTTGCCAAGAGCAGACAGGCTGCCAGGGAAGCTCTGCTCTGGGTCACACCCACCTCTGGGTGGCTGCCAGTCTCCCTGCCAGAAACCACAGGCTGGGTCTGGGCTGCCCAGAGCTCCAGCCACAGGACTCAGGACGCTGTGGCTCAGATCTGCAGAGCATTTGACGGACGCTGCTGGTCTCCGCAGGACCCTGGGCTGGGACAGGGGCCCTGGCAAAGCTGCAGCTGCTGTGGCAGTGGCGTGGGCTGGTAGGCCTTGCTTGCTGGGAGCTGAGAAGCTGAGAGGCCCCTGCCTGCTAGTCCTCAACTCTTGGCACTGGCGGTGGCTTGGGCTTCACATACTGTCAGACGCCTTCTTGGAGGCCTCCATAGCCTCACCTTCCAGGTACCTGGGCTCATTCCTGGGACTATGGGGGGAGAAGAGTGAGAACTGTAAGTGTGTATGTGTGTCTGTCTGCCTGCCTGTTTCTCTCTCTCTGTATGCACCTAGAAGAGACCTCAGCCTCTAGAACATAAAGACTCAGGTCTTGCCTCCCAGGCTTGAAGCTGGCTCCACAAGGGACGCGGTGACATGAGGGGCAACCCACTGATTCATCTCCTGGCCATCTCCTTCCTCTACCTCCTCTCAATGGTAAGGAACCCTGGTCTTGAAAGACAAAAGAATTCCAGGTGGTGGGATGGATATGTGGTCATCTCTTGGAAGGACCCTATTCTGGATACAGTCTGGTCTCTGTGCCTGCCTGGGCTTGCTTCCTTCTCTGGGCCCCGTCAGCTTGCAAGTTCCGCTGTGTGACCCCAGACAAGTGTCCTTCCTTTTCTGAGCCCGAGCCTCAGTTCAATAGGTACAATGTTCGTGAGGCCTCTCAGGGATCTTTGAGGAGAATTGCTCCACAGAGGATAGCATGCGTCCAGGACAAGGATGGATACTGGGGTCTGATTGCAACGTACAGTCCGTGAGGGTATAGTGTGCTAGTCAGAGAGAACAGGAGACATCTCTGTGGTTAATGTCCTGTCCCTCGGTGTCATGTGGAAAAATCTTGTGGGCTTGTGCATAGTTCCACTTGCCTCACATTTACAAGTCTTGTAAGAAGTTGTCATGTTTTAGTCAAATGAGACTCAGAGAGCATATGCAACTCACCCAAAGCCACACAGCAGAAAAACATTAGAACAATAGAAGAGCAGCATGATAGAGCCTAGAGCAGACATGGGTGTGCTTGGAGGAGACCCCAGTCTGTGTCTCTCTACCCCAATCTGGGCAATGCCTCACACTAAATGTTGAGTTCCCAGGAACATGGAGTTAGGGACTGGAGCCAACAGAGCCTGGGCATAAACTCCTCCCTCCCTGGCCCCAAGAGGTCTCCCTGGCAAGGCCAGGACCAACTAGCTTCCAGTCTTGGAAGGGGATGGGCAGAACAAGACGTTAGAATGGGTGCCTTAGGCAGCTCCCTGCGTTCCCCTGAGAGGAGGGTTCTGAGAGGCTGAGGGAGAGCTGCCCTAGATTCGCCATTGGAGTGACATTTGTGAGAACATTTTTTTTTTCTGGTCGTGAGAAGTTGATTGGCATCTGGCACAGAAACCTAGGGATGCAGTCATGGAGAGTATGTGAAGCCGCATTCTTCCCAGGGGAGGGAATTCCAGGTCTTCCAGGCAGGCTGTGGGCTCCTGGCGCTGGACCAGGGCAGGACCAGGGCACCTGGAAACAGCAAAGCTTTGCTGATGAGAGGCTGACATCAACCATAGTCCCAATCACTCTGGGGAGACCAAGGCAAGTGGGAGCTTGAATACTGGGACACCGGGGTTGGCAAGGGCATGGGAGAGGAGGGAGGTCGGGGGGTGGGGCTGCCTCCTCCATAGGCTAGGCAAGAACACCCACCCTGCCCTGTCACTGTTCTTGAACAAGCGGGTAGACGGAGGCAGAGGCTCTGCTGCTAACATAGCCCCTGGAGAATAACAGACTCAAGAGCTAAGTATGGGTTCCAGCACCCCACGAACCTGGAATCTGATCCTATCCCACAGCGTTCCAGCTATTTACTATTTGATTTTGACCTATTGTTTTTTGCCATCACTGTTTTGGAGTTTATATTGAAACAAAGTGTCACTCTGTGTCCAGGCTGGTCTGGAACTCGCTATACAGCTCATGCTGACTTCAAAATTAAGGTGATTCTCCTGTCTCAGTCTCCCAAGTGTTATTTCATCACTGTTAAATCAGACAAGCTGCCCAGACCTCACAGGAAAATGCTGAACACACAGCTTGTCCACACAGCACTCGGAGTAACAAGTGTCATTAGTGGAGTTTCCTGGGGCTCAGGACCTGGAGAGGCCAGAAGCTCCTGAGGGTCTACAGCAGGCCTGGGGCTCAGTAGAAGGCTTGTTTTGTGCTTCCTCACTTCTGGTCAGCCAAGGGCATCAAACCCCTGCTCTGAGCGTCTGCCTCTTTCAGGCCAGCTCTGAGTGAGTTACCCCAGAATGTATCATGTCCCATACACAGATTGCACAGAAGCCTTGGAAAGGTGACACTGAGTGTTCATGATGAGCTCCCAGAGGCTGCTGGTCCAGGAACTCCCTGGAACCTGGAATTCTGCAGCTTGCCCTGCCTTAGGTGGGAGCCACTGGACTCGAACAAGCAGCCACTCTGGGGCGACCTCTGCTGGCCAGAGAACTGTGGGCCTCGGAAAGCAGATTTTTGGGAGTTCAGATCCATGGGTGGGCAGGAAGGGAGTTGTGGTAAAGGGATCACTATCTCTTTGGGCCAGTCAGGAGATTTAGGTCTTTGGTTTTCTTTTTCTAAATCACACATCCTCCAATCAAGGCCTTTTCCTTGTGCTGAAGATTGGTCCTCCACTGTTGGAAACATCTTGAGTGGAAGCTCCCTCTTGGTCCCCACCCTCTCGGGAGCCCTGGCTTCCAGCATTTCATTTGGGTATTTCTGTCCTGGGTGTGAGGCTCAGTTGTAGCTAGGGTGGTGCCCTGGCCCTGCAATGAATGGATACTGAGCCCTGGCTCAGTTTTTGCCTGTTACAGGAGGAGTGGACTCCACTGGAGCCGTGAGTCCACAGTAGGAAGGCGAGCTTGGCGCCCAGACCTGGCTATGGGCAATAGCTTTCCCCTCTTTGGGGTCAGTTCTCCCATCTGTGCAGGGTGGTGGAGGAGGGGGAGGGGTGTGGAGGTATGGGGGTTGGGAGTTGGGGTCGGCTGGCCCAGAGGGGTTGTTTTCTTAGAAGCTTCTAGACAGCTTATTAAATAGATTACAGGTCCTGCCTCCGTGACTTCTAGTTTCATGAGTCCCAGAGGAGGCCTGGGAATCTGTATTTCCCCTTTTCCAGGCTAATCTGATGTGCACCCAGGGCTGAGAAACGAGTTGGGTCGTGTCAAGACCCGGAAATTCCACGTCCTGTTTGATTTCTTTAGCCCAAGGGTAAGAACGTATACAGAAACCATCCGCTCAGCTTCATCTCACTCCTCAGGCTTCCTCGCCTTCCCGACAGTTCGTAGGGACCGGCGGTTACCCTTCATTGTAGTTAGCAGAGGCGACCACCGGTGTGTTAACCACGGTCAGGAGACTGCTTGGCGGGGAATGTGCTTGCAGCGTAAGCCTGAGGACCTGAGGCCGATATATACCATATATAGCAACTGGGCACAGCAGGACACATCTGTACCAGCGCTGAGTGGGCAGCGACCGACAGATCCTTGGGGCTCCCTTGGCTAGCAGTGCGAGGCCCTGCCTCAAAAAAATAGAAGGCGGAGAGTGATGGAGGCAGCCCGGATGTTGATCTCTTCACGTCTATGCACGCATACCTGCACACCACACATACATGCGCTCGTCAAAAACAAAACCAAGCAGACAGAGCCTAACATAGTGATGGCCTCCCACGCAGCATCACTTCCTGCCCCCACCTTACAAAGGAGGAAACCCAGTGGTGGAGAGTTCAAGGATCCCTCAGGCCGCTCATCCAGGAAGGCGGAACCTAGAACTGAAGCTCTGATCTGGGGTGCTTGCTCAAGGTCACGGTGTCATGCCGCCTCTTAGGAGTACCATGGGAAGGCTCAGGGTGAAGGCCAGTTCTGTGTGACGCTGAGGCCAAGCTAAGGGTCCGGCAGTGTCCGGTTTGGCCGAGAAGTGACCGGTTGTGAGAGTCGTCCTACCTTCCACGATGGTCAAAGGTGAGTGAGGTTTCTGTCTCTGCAGGTGTGTGCCCAGCTGTGCCCGACATCCTGTGCCTGTCCCTGGATGCCGCCCCAGTGCCCACTGGGGGCAAACCTGGTGCTGGATGGCTGTGGCTGCTGTCAAGTGTGCGCCCGGCGGCTCGGGGAGTCCTGCGACCACCTGCATGTCTGTGACCTCAGCCAGGGCCTGGTTTGTCAGCCCGGGACAGGCCCCGGTGGCCGGGGGGCAGTGTGCCTCTGTAAGCAGGTTTGCCAGACCAATGGTGTGTGTGTGTGTGTGTGTGTGTGTGTGTGTGTGTGTGTGTGTGTGCGCGCGTCAAGGCATGGGTTACAGAGCCAAAGCGGAGCCAGCTTTCTGCATCTCTCTCTCACCTCACTTTAGACACCGTGTTCATTTAGCTCAGCCAGTGACCCAAGGCTTGCTGGGGCCCACTTCTTCCCTCTCATCCTCTGCTGGGATGGTGTTGACGGTGATTTTCATCCATACCCATCCTAATCACAGCCAGCTTCCTGAGCTGGCCAAAAGCTGCCCCTAGGCAAACACACAGCCCTGTAGAGAGCAAGGCTCCATGTGGGGTATGGTATATGCCACGAACAGTGCTGGGCACTCCCTGTCCACACCCCATAGTCCCATTGCGCAAGTTCTACAAATAGGGAAACTGAGGCTCTAAGATGGCTAGCATGCTCTATGCCCTACAACCTGCTTCCATCTCCAGACAGATTTAGGTAACAGTCCGCTCCCTCCATTCTGCAGCTGGGAGCCTTGGGGCTACACTGTAAACCCCAGCACTGTTTCCCAGTGGTGTTGGATTTGTGACATTCCTCACCACTCTCTCAGGCCTGGGCCTCTGACACTTTGGGGCTTGGTGACTGTTGCTGGGAGGTTCTCTGTGGTCTGACCTTTAGCAGCAGCCTCTCGGCCTATGAGGTGCCAGGATCAGCTGCCAGTGGTGACCTTGCCAAGGTCGCCAAAGAGCAAAATTACCCCAGTTGAGAACTTAAGAAAAACAGAGACGGTCTGTCTATCTATCTATTCATTTATTTCATCTAAAACTACTTCACACTTTGACAAAAATGACCTCATCCAATCGCTTTCTTGCTCCTGCTCTCTGCTCTAGCCACACTGGCCTTGAACACCCAAGTCATGTTCTCAGTCTCAGCAGCTTTGCACTGGCTGCCCTCCATCCCCAATTCTCTCCTTAGATACATGCATGGGGCGTCCCCTCCCTTCCTTCACATTCTTTACTCACGTCACTTCATCCGTGAGGCCTGCCACTGTCTTTAAGAAATTGCAATTCCCCGCTAGTACCTAAACCATCTATTTCATTAGGCCGGATCCGCGGCCAAGGCAACTCCGGCTTGTTGGCTGAGTTTATTTCCACTGGAAGCTCCATTGGGGGATGTTTGTCCATTTGCCCACATATCCTGAATTGCAACCTCCTGGCACGCGGCTTAGGCCACAGGAGGTGCTCGGCAAATGTTTGTGGCATTACGTGGATGATAGCAGGGGTTCTAGTGGGGCTGGTGGAAACAAGAACCCTTTCTTGAGTAAGGCCCGTGAGAAAATGCTTTACAAGCCAATTTCACTTTATCCTTAACACTGAGGTAGACCCTAACATAGCCCCTGTTTTGCAGGCGAGGGAGCTCAGCTCAGAGAGACTTAAGTCACTTAAATAGGTCACACAGGCTTGCAAGTTGTGGAAAAAGAAAAAAAAAAAAATAAGTGTGATTTCTGCCTTGCAACTGACTTCCAGAGGCCAGAAAGAGCTACCCCAGCTGGCAAGGCCATGACCTGTGCTCAGGGGAGGCTGCGGAGCTCAGATGGAGACTGGTATCATGGGTAGGCAGGGGAGGTTGCCGGCAGAGGGGACCCTGAACAAGGCTTGGAGGAAACAATGGTTTTGGCCGCTGGGCATGGGTATAGCTGGATAGGAGGTTTCCGAGACGGTCCATAGGGTTTGCAATGCCAAGGTACCTGTCACGGTACAACTGCCCTGCTAGGGACTGGATGCCCAGGCACACTCATCCCACCTAGCCAGCTCCCAGCTGACGGCCCATGAGGTGCCAGGGACTCTTGCTAAAATTATCATCCTCCCGATGACCTTCCTAAACACGCCTGTTTGCCAGGTCATCCTGGCAACGGGGGCCCAAAGCTGAGGCAGATGGAGGCAGGGTGTGTGTGAGAGTGTATGTGATGAGTGTGTGTGTAATGTGTGCGTGATGGGTGTGGTGTGTGTGTGGGTGTGTGTGTGTGTGTGATGGATGTGGTGAGGTGAGCCCAGACGTGGCATGACCAGGTAGAAGCAAGGCACAGTTGCACAGTTTCTAGGGAACCACTGACAACATGTCCAGGTCAGAAAGTCTGCTCTTTGTATCCAAGGGGGTGTGATCTGGAGGCAGCGGGGACAGGGAGCAGCTGTCCTCTCTGGAGAACAGGGGCATGCCAGGAGGAGCAGTCTGGACCCCAGCCCTGTTGTCATGGGCAGTGATCGGGCCACTCAGACAGTTTAAGTAGTGACAGAAAAGTCCCAGGGCCAGCAGATTAAACCCGACCAGACAGCGGTGAGGACACACAGGGAGAGTGCTCCAGCCCAGGCTGGCCTCGAACTTCTGAACCTCTTGCCACCACCTCCCCAGTGCGAGGCCTACGGGAGTGCCGGCAAGCGTACCCTCACACAGCGTTCATACATTGCTGCAGACCGAGCCCAGGCCCTGAGCACCCGAGGCAAGCGCTCCACCGACTGCGCCACGTCCCTTAACCCAAAGCTTCACTTCTGTCAGGTCCACTGCACACGTAATTTCACTTAGTCCATGACATGCTGTGAAATAAGCACCAACATAATCCAATCTTTCACGTAGAGGAACTGAGGCGAGACATTAAATTACTTGGTCTATAGTTAAGAAAGTGCAGGGCTGGAGCCCACACCAGGCTCTGGATGTCTTGCTGAAGACAGAGGCCGGCCGGTGGGGGGTGGGGGAGGGGAGGATGGGGACAGGCCAGGCCGCCTGGTCTTGTGTTCAGGAGAGCTGGTGGTTTTCTCCTCCCTACCACAGTGGAAGAGGATGACGGGAGCTGTGAGGTGAACGGCCACAGGTACCTGGATGGGGAGACGTTTCAACCCAATTGCAGGGTCCTCTGCCGCTGTGACGACGGTGGCTTCACCTGCCTGCCGCTGTGCAGTGAGGATGTGCGCCTGCCCAGCTGGGACTGCCCACGCCCCAGGAGAGTGGAGCTGCCCGGGAGGTGCTGCCCCGAGTGGGTGTGTGACCAGGGAGTCACGCCTGGGATCCAGCCGTCCATGGCCCAGGGTGAGTGAGTGCAGGTCAGGCCCAGGCCACCAAGGCCTCAGCTGCCACCCTTCCCGGAAGCAGAAATGACGAACTGACAAAACAAAGGCAACCGCTGAGGGATATAATTTTAGCTAATAAATAGTTTAAAGCTCGAGGGACTCGAGACACGACTCAGTAGTTAAGAGCACTTGCTTTTTTTGCAGAGGGTCGGGGTTCAGTCTTCTGAACCAACATGGTAGCTCACAACTGTCCATAACTTCAGTTCCAGGGGATCTGATACCCTCTTCTGACCACTGTGGGCACCGGGCATGCACATGTCGCACATGCGTACATACATGAGGTGAAACATACACACATAAAATAAAAACAAACACATCTTAACACGTAAGAGTTCAAGTTCAGGTGGCAGAATGGAGAGGGAGTGTTAGCATCCTTGAGCCAAAGTTTTGCCTCTCACAGCCGTGGTACAAATATAGTATAAGTGGCAGAAGATAGTACAGATGATAAATATAGTCTAGAATAATAGAAAATATGACATAAAATATAGATACATGTATAGAATATATATTTCTGATACTTAAATGCCTATGGACAATTTATAACATTATGAATATAGGATTGTTTGCATTTCAGTAAAATCCTTAAGTAAAAGATTATGTAAAAGCTGAACCAGGCAGGATGAGAGTTTGGAAAACAGTTGAGGGCTAGGCAGAGGTTCAGAGACTGCTACATCCTTCTACAAACTCTTAGACTCTGGGATTTTTGTTGTCCTGTTTCTTTAAAAACATTATTCTTGTCACATGAATCTGACTGGGGAAGGTGACCAGGAAGCAAGGACTGCCTCTGTGGATGCCACCCTATGGGGAGGCAGGACACGGGGTGGGTTAAATACCTGGACACTGTCTCTACACCCAGCTCTGGCCTTGCCTGCTGTGTGATTCTGAGAAAGTTGTTGAAGGTTCCCTGCCTCGGTTTCTCCAGCTGTAAAGCGGAACCAATAAGAACACCCACCTTTTAGAACTGTGGAGGGGACATAATGGATTAGTTCAAGTAAATGGGTTGTAAGGAAGCCCATGTAAGTGCCATGGCTGACATTACCCCCGACTGGGAATATGACACATCAAATTAGGCAAATAGGAGAGAGCTGGCCAGCTCACCTCAAATGTCTCTGCCCACAGAGTACTCAGAATTGAACCTATAGCTGTGCTCAACCAGACAAATGCTCTACCACTGAGCCATGCCGCCAGCCCTTGGCTTTCATAGTGAAAAGCAAGATAGAACCCCACCTCCCATCTGGCCTCCACCGCATGTGCATGTACAGGGCGTGAACGCACGTGCAGCTGGCCCTCCGTGTTCTCGGACTCAACCAGCTGCTCACCAAAAGTAGTTTTGTAATTGGGCCCCGCACTGAGCAGGTGCTGATTTTTGTTTTACTCTTTCAACGATTCCTTAGTAAAGATGGTTTCCATTTTAGCTTGTGTCAGTGTTTGGGAGATGACCTGTGTTGCCAGGAGGGTGTGTGTGGTCTGTGCAAGCACCGAGCCATTTACACAGGGATCCCAGCACCCTCGAACCTCCTGCCCTGACACGCAAACACACGACTCTTGTGTGTACAGAGCAGTAGTTGTCAGTATGAGCATCCATGGCATTTGGGATGAGTTATGCTTTGTGGTTGGGGTTGATGGGTATGTTGTGGGATGTACAAAAACAATCTTGACTCTACCCTCTAGCAACCCCCTTCCTCCCCATCTCTCCCCCACAAAACACCCTTGTATACATTCATCAACTGTGACAATTGAAAATGTCTCTGGACACTGCCAAATAAATGTCTTTTTGGTTCTCAGAGACAAAAAGAAGGACATCAAACATAAGAGAAAAGGATAACGGGGAGGAAGAGATAGACCATGGTGAGCCTGCCATCTTGGGCCCTTGAACACTCTTTTTCCACCAGGTTGCAGTTCTGTGCCACACAAGTGTGTCTGTAAGACACCATGTATCAGGCAGTAGGAAGGTAGAGAAAAAGAAAGATGGCATTTTTTTTTTTAGTTGTTTCATGACCAATGTCTGTGAGGTGCACTGTTCTTAGATGCCTCAGCTGTTTTTTTTTTTTTTTTTTTTTATTTTAATCTAATCCCAAATTTTAGGAAGTTTAGGAAGAAACTAAGGGTGAGCAGCCTTGCTAGGTTCCCCGTGATGGCCAGCAGGTGAGCTGACTTGGCTACTGAGCTCCGACCTCTCCACGTTCACTCTCTTCTTTCTAACCCCCAGGACATCAACTTTCTGCCCTTGTCACTCCTGCATCCGCCGATGTCCCCTGTCCAAAATGGAGCACTGCCTGGGGCCCCTGTTCCACCACCTGTGGCCTGGGCATAGCCACCCGAGTATCCAACCAGAACCGATTCTGCCAACTGGAGATCCAGCGCCGCCTGTGTCTATCCAGACCCTGCCGGGCAGCCAGGGGACGTAGCTCGTGGAACAGCGCCTTCTAGACCCAAGCCAGGGATAGGGACATGAAGCCTGACGTTCTCAGCAGGTGTCCCTCGGGCCAGGCCCTGGACGGATGACAGATACCCCCATCCATGCTCTCAGCTGCAGTTAACTGTCCTGGTAGGGTTCGTTGTCCAGGGCCGCTGAGAGATGCCTGCTCTGTCTGAGGGCAGTGGGACATATGACCAGCGTCGTTTCTCTGAATCAGCCTGGGGTTCTGACCCATCTGCCTAATTCCTTATCAAACAAGCACATACAGGACGGCGTTCTCTTCAAATGTCCATGTGCAAAAAGGACAACTGAAAGGACCTTCAAAGCTAGGCTGTGCTGGGCAGGCCTGGCCACCAAGCTGGGGACAATGGCCATGAGGGGTACCAGGCCGCAGATTGCCTGAAACTCCCAGGTCCCTTCTTGGACTTCTGGGTGCTTGTCTCCAAAGATCGTGGATGGACTGTAAGTCTGGTTTCCCTGGTCTGAGAACACCCTGCCTGCCCAGGAAGAATTCAGGGGCAGAATTCTCTGTGAACAAGAAGAGATGAAATCACATTGTCCTTATCGAGATCCATGAACTTCACTTTGTATCTGTAAGAATGGACATTTCTTAAGCACTCGCAAAGCAGGAGGCGCCACACTCCTGGCAGCCAGGGCCTTTCCCTTCAACACGAGAAAGGCAAGGGACAGCAGAGTACCCTCATTTGGAGGGCTAGACCAGCCTTGGATAAAAAGCCGAGCCAAGCGTGGAGTTCAGTTTGGTGTCTTGTGTTTTTGTATCAAAACAAAACAAAATAAAACCCAACTAAATATAAAGTTTACCTTCTCTCCCATGGTCCGCTTTGTGGTTAGAAGATAGCTTGGTTGGAGGCAGGAGGATTCCCAGGGCTTCATAGCCACTCAGCCTAGCCTACTTAGTAAATTCCAGGCCAGTGAGATACCCTCTCTCTAAAATAATCAGTGCACAGTGCCTAAAGAACAATGCCTGAGGTCTTTTTTTTTTTTTTTTTTTTTTTTTTTTTATGCCTGAGGTCTTAACACACGCACATGCGCGCCAAAGCATGGTGCATGAGCATTGTGCACATCCGCATGCGCATGCGCACGTACTGAACGCACCAAGAGCAACAAATACATTCGAAACTGGTGTTACTAACAAGTTCCAGCCAGGCAAATCAGAGAAGTCTCTGGCTGGTGTGGAGACACGTTAAGCCCAGAACTCTAAGGCAGAGGCAGGTAGATGGATCTCTGTGAGTTTGAGGCCACCCTGGTCTCCATGTTGGGTTCCAGGCCAGGTAGAGCTACACAGTGAGATCCCGTCTCAAAAAAATAAAAACCAAACAATCAGCAATAGTCTCTGTGTTTAAGTAGTGGCTTTCTCTGTGAAACTTTGTTGGGATGTGTGTAATCCACACAGCTAAACGCGGAAGCCACAGATTCTGTCTGGGTCTTTGCAGCTGTTGACCCAGTGACCAACACCTCCATCCAGGTACATAAAGCTCCCACCCCCTCAGGAAGGTCCTTCTGCTCTTCCTGCGGTTCCCTTCTCCTCATCAGGTGACCCCTGCCCTACCTGATTTCCATCTCCGCTCAACAGAACAAAGAAAAGAAGCATTCAGCACAGGTCCCGAGTCCATCTGAGAGGCCAACCAGAGAACCGAGGTTGGCACTCCGCCCGGAAGTGAGAGCAGCTTCCGGGGCAAGGCTGACAAACCCGAAGCCGGCCTTGAGGGCAGGAGGAGAAGGAGCCTCACGATGCATGGCCACCAGTCGCCCGGAGACACCAAACAGGGAGGGGAAGGGCAGCCCCCGAGATTCTGTGCAGTCAGAACGATGGAGGGCAGGGACGGGAGCCCTCCCGGTGTGAAGAGACGGTGAAGACCCTCTGAGCTCGTCCTCCCCCGGGCTCTCAGAGCTGCGCTAACTGGGTCTGGCTGGCTGAACCCAAGGAAGGCGTCTGCACTGAGGTCCTTCCTGCTGGGTCGGAGCGGCAGAGGCAGCTGGCAGCACCACTGTCTAATGGGCATTTAACTGTGTCCTGCTGCACCTGTTCGTGACCTTATGAAATGTGAGGTACTTGAAGGAATTCCTGCTCTACAGAGGGGAAACTGAGGCCAGAGAGGTAGAATTACAGCTACTCTCGGTGCTGGGACCCTCAGAACCAGCTGAACTTTCTCCCCTGTCTTTTCTCTCCTCTTTTTTTATCTGTCCCTTCCCTCCTCTCTCCGTTTCTTCCATCTTGTCCTTTTTCCTTCCTAGAACAGCCCGCCCCTCCATCAGCATCTGGTCAGAGCAGGATCTTGCATTTCCTGAGTCTCCTGCCCCCAGCCCACCCCTAAGTCCCCATTTCACTAAGATCTGTATTGTTAGCGGTTTCAAATGGGCTTTTGGTAGAGGAACCAGTAGAGTGGTGCTGCCCCCTAGTGACATTTGTAAGCACGAACAGCGGAGAGAGTGTCAGCAGATTAAAGTCCTGGGACGAGAGGTCACTGCTGCCCCCTGCTGCCCAGATGTAAAACTGCAGCCTAGTTGGAGAGGCTTGTCCTAAGCTTCAGGATGAGATGGTCATGGAAGAGATAGCTAGGTGTTGTTGTTGCTGTTTGTTTGTTTTTGTGGGATTGTTATTATTGTCGATGCTTTTCTATTGGTGCTGATGTATTATTAAATCACCAGTCCCTGAGGCAGCGCACTTTGCTTATCTCCTGGACCAGTCTACTGTGGGTGCCTTCTCCCATTGGCCACACTGAACAGCCAGGAAGACCTTTGTCCAGCACAACCATGACTAAGCCACTCTGCTTAAACCCCTCTGAGATAGCCCTCTATCCCCACTGGACCAGATCTCAAGACTCACAGGCCTACTGACTGTATCTTCCAGGTCTGCACGGAGACACCCCAGAGGGCTGAAGAGTCAGTCCCCTTGCAGCCAGATTCCCCGCTCTAGGCCTCTCTCCAGGCTGCTGGCTCTGACCTGGATAGCACTTGTAATCCCTGTGACTTCCAGCCTCATTTTTCTTCTAGGCTAACCTCCTCTGGCTTCCAACTAGATGAAGAGCCAAACCACGTGGAGCATGATTGACGGGGCTCAGAAATGAGGGAGACAAAGGAGGCAGTGATCAGGGGGAGGGAGGCTGGAATAGAGCATGCAGCTGTGACTCAAGCTGGCCTCACACTCTCTGCATTTCTGGGGGACTATAAGGCAACGAGGGGGCAGGTGGTATCATTTAATGCCACTCAGGGAGCTGACACGATTTTACCAGGGCCTTGTAGCTAGTGCATTGTAGGCCCAGGATCTAACCCTGTTCTCTGGCTCCAGAAACTTGTCCTTGAGCTCACCACATAGGCTGAGGGGGCTAGGATAGGAGGAGGAAGCCAGTAGAATGTTTCTAAGGAGGGCCTGCAGCTGAGTCTTGGAGCATTCTGGAATATTGGGTTCTTGGTACCTGGTGTTTGACCTTATAACTATAACCTGAAACAATAGAGAGTGCTTAGGGGTCTGTAGTTTGATTGTCGTCACGACCTACATGGTAAGTGTGTCGCTAGCACATGCTGTCTTAATAAGCCAGGCAAGCATTGTGCTCCTGGACACGTCCATGGTGGCCCACCACTCCTCAGGGCACAGGGTGCTCCGATTCTACCTTGCAGACGGAGATGGAGAAGTCCTCTCGTCCCTAAAGGCCAGGCCTGGAGCCCACACTTCCCTGGTGAGGCTCACCACTGTGTCTGTAAACAGCTGGCCAACAGCGCCCTGCTGGGCAGGTGTCTCACAGAGTCAGCACTTCACTATGGAACCTTTGCTAGAATTAAGGGTGACGACAAGATTCTTGTTAGCAATCCGTTTAACCAGCTTACTAGGCTAAGCGGGGCTCTCCAGGCTGCTTGAATGGGACACTCCTGACACACGCCAGCGGAGTGGCCAGCAGGCCACCCTCTGGCACCCTTGTCCCCTCTGGCTTCCTGCCATCACACTGCACGCTTGCCAAGAGTCTACTGGGTCTGTTTCCAAACCGGCCTGCACCAGCCACACTGGTTTTTTTGTGAAGAGGCAATTGGATTAGCGATCCCATAAGCTGGTGAAATATGAGCACAAAAGGAAGAGATTTGTCTTCTATGAAAACTCAATAAAGACTTGTGGTTTAAAAACTGCTTCAAATTGAGCATGGAAGAAGAAGAAGGAAAACAAAAAACAAAACAAAACAAAAAAAACTCCAGAAGAAATATCGCAGAGGCAGCTGGAGTGAGAGCTCAGTGGTTAAGGGCATGTGCTGCTCTTACGGAGGTCCTGGGTTCGATTTCCAGCATGACATCAAGTGGTTCACAACTGCCTGTACCTCCAGCTCCAGGGGTCCAGAGTCTCTGCAGGCACCTGCACACCTGCATGCTCGCGCACACACATATGCCTCTGTGCACACACAGACCACGCACATGCGCACACGTGCACACGATTAAAATAATAATAAAAAAAAACTTAAAAAGAAAGAGCCACAGGAATGTAGAGGGACTCACCCTGGGTGTCCCTCACCTATGGGGGACGATGCATGGCGCTGAGGAGCAGGACTAAACTCAAAGAATAGATCGGAAAACAAGGGTTTGCTTGTAATTGAATAAAACCCTCCAGGTGTATTCCACTTAAAAGAATCCCCTGGGGGTGGGGCATGGATGTCTGTGTTAGCTCTTGCTTGTCCCGGGTGCCCTGGGTCGAGGGTTCTGTTCCCAGCTTCATCTAAGAATCTCACCAGCGGGGCGTGACGATGCACACCGGAAGTCCCGGCTCCTCGGGAAGCCAGCTTGGGATGCGCAGGGAAGTCAAAGGTCAGCCTCGGCAATTTAGCAAGACCCTGTCTCAAAACACGACAAAGGACTCGTCGGTCGAGAGCTTGCATATCGAGATTGAGAGTGGTTCAAGCTCCAGACATTAAAGAAAAAAAAATCCCTGCTGCTCTGAGTAACTGACTAACCTCTAGTCCTGCTTTCGGATGCGTGGGCTCTAACAGGATAGTTATCCCCATTTTACAGGTAAGTAAACCGAGGCCCAGGCTAACTGGAGGTTGGAGCCAGCATACAAACCCAGCCAACCTGGTTACCCAGCCTGTGCTCTCACCCTCTTTGCCGGTTCTGTCCAATTGAACGTTCCATGGGGAGGCAGGTGTTCTATTTCCCATCGTGTCACTGCAGTGGCCCAAACTTTTGAAGTGTCTGCTGCAATAAAGGAAAGGGATTCTTTTAGAACTTGTTTTATTGATTCTTTGACAAGCTCGTATATGTAGATAATACGCTCTCATTTTCCTCTCCCCACTCCCCTAGACACCCCCAAGATATCCCACTCCCCTCTGGGATATTTGTTCCTCTCTCTCCCTTTCCCCCCTTAATAGCCCACTGTAGTGGATTGAATAAGAATGTCCCCCATAGGCTCATATATCTGAATGCTTAGTCACCAGGAAGTAGAGTATTTGAAAGGAATAGAAGGATTAGGAGGTATGGCCTTGTTGAAGAAAGTATGTCACTGCGGGAGGGGGGGATGGCTTCGAGGTTCAAAAGCCCAGACCAGGCCCAGGGTTGCTTTCTCTTTCAGCCTGTGGATCAGGAAATAGTGCTCAGTTACTGCTCCAGCACCACGCATGCCATCATGCCCCCTGCCAGGAAGATACCAGACCAAGCCTCTGAGACTGTAAGAAAGCCCCCAGTTAAATGTTTTCCTTCCTAAGGGCTTCTTTGGTCATGGCGTCTCTTCACAGCAATAGAACAAGAATTAAGACAGGAGTTGGGTATACCAGGAAGCAGGATATTGCCATGGCAGAACCG